TTATCCCTTTCGAAATTAATGTTCATGCATGCCTAGGTTTCAAATACGGGCGTTTGAAAAAAAAAAATATCTTTTTTTGGCAGGAAACGAATTCGAAAACCAGTCAACACTTGGAGTTGAATCTTTGCAAAGGCGCTGCCTTGCCATGTGCAATCTAAAGTTTCAAATTCAGCTAGTACGCACGCCTGCGCCACGTATGCAGAGGCACTGAAGTTTGTCGCTGGCAAACGCTCGAATATTTATCGCCTGTGCGGGAATAATTAAACTGAGTTTTAAATTGTATCTGCATCACGGGTTAAGGTTCGTCGAAAGTATTTGTAGCAAAGTGCCAATTCGGGAACCGAGCAAAGCTAGGAAGTTGAAATTTTAGAAGGATGCTAAAATTTTATGAGGATATGCCTGCGCTCCGAACTCAATGTTCTGAATTAGGTTACGAGGAACGCCCAGATCTGGCATTATTGGCAAGAAAAATTTTAATTTTGGGAAATTTTAGCTCCCATTTTTGCTCTGCAGTCAGACTAAATAGGGAGCCAAAATTATGGGAGAAAGTCCACTGCCCATGTTCACAATTTTATAAGCACAACATTTGCTTCTCATTTCGCATGCGTATTGCGCAAGGCATTCAAACTGGACAATTCTCCATTACTTTCTGTTGGTAATCAAAAAGCCACTTATGCGATGACGTATCCTGTGCGTCACTACAATCATAAAATCAGCCTTCACGAATGTTAAAGTTTCACCACACGGACACAGTGAGCGTAAGGACGCATTTTGCCGGCAAAATTTGCATGCAATATTAAGGGTAGTCATACATGCTGAAAGTTGAGAGTTACGTGGTACTACGATGCAACACTACGCCCCAGCCGTTAGCTCACGTAGCAAAATTCCGCAAATACTGCTAGCATCAGTGCGCATGATAAACTGTAAGGCAATAACGATTCGAACTGTTGACGACCCGACTGTTTCAAAATCTGCGCTAAAAAACATGATCTCACCGACAATCATGGTGCGCTTTGCTGCCTGTCTGCATTCGTATCAATGCAAGAACGCATAAAAAGTAAACACACATGCGGCTGTCTGATAACATGTGAACGGTTTAAAATTTGTTGCCTGCCAACAGCTAGTGCGCCGCGTGAACCGGAAAAACTATATTAAAATATGCATACCCAAAGGATCATAGCCGTAGAAAATGCCGCGAACAACAGGAGGTGCATAGTACACTCCATATGGGAAAGGCGTTAGATCTGCGCGTGGGCGCCAAATGCCTTTGCATTTTGCATACCATCTAAAAACAGCAATTTCGATTTGCATTTCGTCAGTAACCCAGCGTGAAAGTAGTTTAAGGCTTGGATCATACCGCTGACAATTGGGAAGAGCAGGTGAGCGAGCACCTGGTTTGCATTCCACATCCATAATCCACTGCAGATGAATGCATTCACATGCAGCAACACAGAGTGGGTCTGTTTCGCGGCAAGATGTATAACATCTTGTCAACGCTTGCTCCTGAACTTTTGGCAAACCCGACTCACGCCAGAAGGCACGCTGCCGACGGATCTGTAACAGTTCTTGACGT